ACGTGGACTTAAACTTGAAAGGCCCCAAAGTCAAAGGGGATGTGGATGTGTCTGTGCCCAAGATAGAAGGTGAAATGAAAGTGCCAGATGTGGACATCAAAGGGCCCAAAGTGGACGTGGATGTTCCAGATGTGGATGTTCATGGCCCAGACTGGCACCTGAAGATGCCCAAGATGAAAATGCCCAAGTTCAGTGTGCCTGGCTTCAAATCAGAGGGCCCCGAAGTGGATGTGAACCTGCCTAAAGCTGACATTGACATTTCTGGACCCAAAGTTGACATTGAAGCCCCAGATGTGAACCTTGAAGGTCCAGAAGGGAAGCTCAAGGGTCCTAAGTTTAAGATGCCTGAGATGCACTTTAAGACTCCTAAGATCTCCATGCCTGACATTGATTTAAACCTCAAGGGCCACAGGGTGAAAGGTGATGTGGATGTTTCTCTGTCCAAAGTTGAAGGGGATCTGAAAGCACCAGAGGCTGACATCAAAGGTCCCAAAGTGGACATTGATGCTCCAGATGTGGATGTTCATGGCCCAGACTGGCACCTGAAGATGCCCAAGATAAAAATGCCCAAGTTTAGCATGCCTGGCTTCAAAGGAGAGGCCCCAGAAGTGGATGTGAATTTGTCCAAAGCCGACATTGATGTCTCAGGTCCCAAGGTGGACATTGAAGTTCCAGATGTGAATATTGAAGGTCCAGATGCAAAACTGAAAGGTCCTAAATTTAAATTGCCAGAAATGAATATAAAGCCTCAGAAGATATCCATGCCGGATGTTGGCTTGCATTTGAAAGGCCCTAAAGTAAAAGGAGATTATGATATTACAGTTCCAAAAGTAGAAGGAGAGATAAAAGCTCCTGATGTGGACGTCAAGGGTCCAAAAGTGGACATTAATGCACCGGATGTGGGAGTTCATGGTCCAGACTGGCATCTGAAGATGCCCAAGGTGAAAATGCCCAAGTTCAGCATGCCTGGTTTCAAAGGAGAGGGCCCAGCAGTGGACGTGAACCTGCCCAAGGCCGACATCGATGTCTCAGGACCCAAGGTAGACGTTGAAGTTCCAGATGTGAATATCGAAGGTCCAGAAGGGAAACTAAAAGGCCCAAAGTTCAAGATGCCAAGCATGAATATACAGACACACAAAATCTCTATGCCTGATGTTGGACTTAATCTGAAAGCCCCTAAACTGAAAACTGATGTAGATGTTGCTCTTCCCAAAGTCGAAGGAGACTTGAAAGGTCCTGGAATTGATGTAAAAGCCCCTAAAATGAATGTGGATGTTGGTGACATTGATATTGAATGTCCAGAAGGAAAGATGAAAGGCCCCAAGTTTAAGATGCCTGAGATGCACTTCAAGGCCCCCAAGATCTCCATGCCTGACGTGGACTTAAACTTGAAAGGCCCCAAAGTCAAAGGGGATGTGGATGTGTCTGTGCCCAAGATAGAAGGTGAGATGAAAGTGCCAGATGTGGACATCAAAGGGCCCAAAGTGGACGTGGATGTTCCAGATGTGGATGTTCATGGCCCAGACTGGCACCTGAAGATGCCCAAGGTGAAAATGCCCAAGTTCAGCATGCCTGGC